TCTACTGGAGAATTTAAATACACTTCTGTTGGAATCTGTCAGCTATGGAGGGGCACAGTCCAGGTGCCAGGCTAGCTCCCTCTGACCTCATGAACCTTTGGACACTTAACTCTTTACCCCAAAGATGAGTTTTTAGATCAGAAAGGAGTGGATTTTCTTTGGAAGTTAAAAAACAAAAACCAAAAAACAAAAGGTATGAAGTACAACTACAGGCTCAAAAGGTCCACTAAATTCACCAAGTTGACTACATCAGCTCCCATGAAGCCAAAAATTTTTTGGCTTGACAAAGTTATTTTGCCAGAAAAATGATTCCACAACAGCTTAAGATACACAAAATGCTGAAAAAAAGTAGCAAATAAAAACAACATGGCTTAATTCCCAAGAATTTATTTCGTCTTTTTGTTACTCATCTATAAGGTCAGGAGTGTGACTAAAGGCAGTTTCTGATGAGGTCATGAGCTTCCAAAGTGTTTCTAAATCCTTAGTGCAGATACCCTCCCTTTTGGGGCAAAATAACCTCCCTCCCACCCCTATTAAAAAAGAAAAAAAGAAAAAAATTAAACCAAGTCATCAGAATGAGATGTTTTGATTCCAACAATGTACACTCAAGGCTTTGTGCTGAGTTGTCTGGTTCTAATCCAAGCACGATGGTATCAAACACAAAGCACATGGCAAAGGAAAGATGCTCCCATCTCATTCTGAAAACAAATACTGATAACCAATTGCCTCCCCCCTCCCCCCATCCCTCGGGGCCAACCTATATTATGATGCTGGGACCAACTTGAAAATAATTTAGTGATTATATTTAGGTTTCTCTCCCCCTTACTTCTTCCCATGGAAGATCATTTTAGAATAAATTTATTCCATTCCATTCCTAAGGGAAAAGGCAAGGTTTCTCCACAGGAATGTAAGGAAGAGAGAGACAGCAAGCTGTCCATAACTCATTACATGACTATATAATCACTGGTTAAACCAGGAGCTGATTGTAATTTAAATATTAAAAATAAGGGGAGTAGTTTTTATCCAAATGAACCACTGGAAAAATACTACAATTACTTAAACACCCAATACTGGAAGGAACAGAAAAACAACTAATAATAACAATGCTCCTTATTTAAGGGGAATTGAAAAAAAAAAAAAAAAAGACTAGGCTTTGACCTAGTTGGTAGAGCATCTTTCCATTTAACGATTCCTACTCAAGAGTCAAGCACCAGAACTGGACAGCTGCCTGTGTAAGACGGTGTCCAATCATGGTGTCCCAGCTCGTTTTAAGTGCCACTCCTCATCAGAGGCTGTACTTCAGGAATACTTTCAGTTTAAAGTCTGTGCTTTTAGAGGGACCCACAGGCACGTGGCACCAGGCAGAGCAGTCAGGATGGCAAGAGACTGCGCTGTTTCTTTAGTCACCCACACACTCTCTAGCGAGACACAAAATTGCATTTATGAACTTTCCTTCTTTTTCTTCTATAATGAATGACCCCTCTTACCTCGCCAGAGATGGGGGGGAAAGAGAGAGCTGCATCAGTACACGGGCAAGATTTTTTGGTCAAAAGTTGATGCCTTTAAAGTTCCCTCCCCCCACCCCTCCCTGGAAAAAGGTTACTTTTTAAATTAGGCCTTGCATTTAGTAACCAACATTGGCTGGAGACACAGTGTGGCTTGGATACCAGATAAATGAGTTATTCTGTTTTGGGTTTGTACTGTGCAGCTCTTGCTACAGTTTTTAAGGAGTTAGGGCTGTCTGATCAGGAGGCATCTGCAGGATTTTGATCCTCAAGGAATTTTGGAATCACAATTTTGCTTAGAACAAGGCAGAGTCAAAAAAGCAACTTTGAATAACTGACTTCTTTATCCAGATGAGTTAAGCATGAAAGTTTATGTAAGACATATCCTGGAATATTTTAGGGCTTTAAAAGACAATGACAAATGGAAACCAATTTTTTTTTTTAATTTTTCTTCTTTTTTTTCTTTTTTTAAATCCTAGATGCCTCCTGATTGACCTAGTATACTGGGTTAAAAGGGAATTAAAAACATTAAAAAAAAAGTTCACTGGTATTGATTCATCTCACTCCTTTTGCCTGGAGATCAGGCCAAACATCAAGCATGTTGGGAGGGGCACAATTTAAAGCAACACTATTGACTGTAAAGCATTTGCCAGCAATTTACAATGCAAAATGACAGATAATTCTTGTCACAAAGCAAGAGGATGGCAAGCAGCTTTCTGTAGCATGAAAGTTAACAGCTCTCAGGGGTTGCCCGTTCCTGCAAGTTTATGTATCAAGGTGGGCAGAGGGCAACACACAAAGTACAGGAGGTGATCCACAGAAAGTAAGCCCCAGAACTGCTGAAGTCCCCAAAGCTGGTACTGGCTAGTATTCTGAAATGCAAACCCATGCTTTATACATATACTGCTCAAAGACACTGCCACGCAATCACATCCCCACACTGCAAGGTGAATTCTTTGTCCCCTTCTGCAGAGCTTGAAAAGTTTCTCAAACTTTTAAAGAAGGCTGGCGGGGAACAGTATCAGAGAGAACGTCTCAAAAAAAATAACATCTTGAATTAGAGGTTTGTGAAGCTTCCGTGCTCTCTCTGTCAGGCTTACTCCAAAGGTACTATATGAGGCAGTGTGGCAGCAGTGAACCCCAGGCTCCTGGCCTCTTTCCCAATGTAGAATTCCTGTAGAGCTCTGCTCTCTACAGTAAGAAGCCAAAATACTTTTTAGATTTAGTGTTGCGGAAAACTGAGCCCCTCTCATCTTTAGCTGCTCCCATAATCACTCTAATCCCCTTAATCCCAGCAACCTTCATCCAAAAAAAAAATATATATATATGTATATATATATATGAACCCAGAAAAAAAACCTATTTACAAAGTTTATACAAGTATACACACCCAATTTTCTATGGGACACGCTCTGCCACAGAGGAAAGAGGGTCAAAGGCTCTGACATGTCTACACATCAAGTGCCATAACTGCTAATGGAGGCGTATGTAAACCAGTCTTTAGTGTTCTGCTATAGAGCACAAAAGGCTTGTCATATGGCTCCTGCGATGATAGACTGCTCTTTCCTTTGGGAGCGATGATGTTGTATCTACTCAGCCCAGAAGAAATTTTTACTTGGGATTGTTTTTTTTTTTTGTTAAATACATGTATTTACAGTGCGGATGAACTGCAGTTGCATATCAACTCCTCCACATAAAGAAAAAGAAAATGGTGTTTAACATCACTAATATGTTTCATCTTCCAGCCCTGGGCTTGAGTATCAGGTAGAAAGGGAAGAGAGAGACTTCAACTTGAAACCAAAATGAAAAGACAAAAATTTTTAAAAGAAAGAAAAAAGAAAAAAAAAAATACTATTGTTGATTCCTTGGGCTGTGTCTAAAAGATGATATTCTGAATGGTCTCATAGCATAAGGCACTTCGCACAAATAAGTAATAAGCTCTTCAGGCTTAAAAACAGATGAGTAACCAGGGAGAAGTTGAAATGCACTCAAGAGTCAGCTGTTGGAGAATTTTGAAATCGTAGACAAGCTTGTGTTCATCAAGGTTCTTCTCTTTTTAGGGTTTCTCCCCTTCTTTCTCTTCCTTCTTTGTCCCCCCTTCCCCAGAAAAATTTTTAAAAAACCAGCAGTTAGTGCAACCAATGTTCAGTCAGCACACAGTGCAAACAAGTGGAACAAAAAAGGTAAATGCCTTTTCAGCTTTTCTCTTCACCAGTTAAAAAAAAGAAGAAATGTCTGAGCTCTTAAGTCTTCATAGTTCCAAAATAAAAGAAGATGAAAAACCCACAAAGAGAAGAGCATTCCCCCCAAAATCGATGTGTCACAGATCCAAACGAGCCTTCCATAGTTTGTCAAAGCCTAAAGAAAAAAGAAACCTAAAATTATCGCTGGTAAGCAATATAAACTAGGATACACACACGTGAAGTAGGCATTCACAATTCCATCCCAAATGCCCTCCATAATAGCTTCTACTGAGACTCTTTACACACTATAGAATCCACTCAGGATTAAGAAATTTCCACTAGACATCCCAGAGACAGAATGAAATCCTAAAAGTTCTGGTAGCAGGCAGTAGTCATCTGTGACAATTTTTAAGTTTTTTAAATCCTATATGAACTCAACAGCCTGTCAGTGTACTAGCATACATGGGCTAGTTTTATATTTGTCTAAGAGTTTTGTGTTTGACAAGTAAATTAGGATAAAAATGTTAAAGTGACGAGAGTAATTTGGAGAATCTAAAAATAATGGGTAGAATGTTCACTGCTAATTTGGAAACTATCATCTCTGAAATTAGACTTTCCTTACAGGAATATTGACTGTTTTGGAGGGTTTTTTCCTATGTTAATTAAGCCTTGTTTTAAGCATTTCTTCCAGAGTCCTACAGTCAACAAAAGATGAAAAGGTGGATGCATGTGAGACTCATAACCTGATTATACCTTTAGCAGTAAGGTTTTACAGATAATTTAACCTAATTTATAGCCGCCTGGCTAGCTCAGTCGGTAGAGCATGAGACTCTTAACCTAATTTATTAAGGTGCCCATTAGAAATTAAGAGTGAATACTAACAGATGAGTGAGTGATAAAGGAAAAGAGCAAAAACAGTTTCACATTCAAAACTGCTAATTCTCTTTTGCTTCCATTATTTCAGAAGTCTGAATTTGTCTTCAGTTTTTTTTTTTTTTTCATTTATTTTTATTAGTTGGAGGCTAATTACTTTACATCATTGCTGTGGTTTTTGTCATACTGTCTTCAGTTCTGTTCACATACCTTACCACGGAAGATGGCGTTCAGGAACTGCACTTGTGGATTCACCAGTAAGATCACTTCAACTGACATACTTTCTGCTTACTGCCATTTATGCCAAGAGGTATCTCATCTTTTATTGCTAATTGTATATGGCAGGACATCAAGCTCCCCCTGGGGGAAAGAGGACCTTGATCTCCTTCCTTTAAACATTATACTTACTTGGCTATTTTGTCAGGTACACACACGCTTGTTAAGGTTTCTCATCTTCTACAGGCTCGCTGTGGTATTCTGCCACATACAGGCTCTTGTCAATGTTGCTCGGGATAGGTTTGATTTCTGTTCCCAGCTGCTCCTCAATACTTTTCAGGTTGAAGCGATCATCATATGTGATCAAGTTGATGGCTAAGCCAAGATGACCAAAGCGACCTAACAAAAAACAATTAATAAGAATTAAATATGACAGTCAACGTGCAAGCACTAGTCTGTAAGTGGCAAATCCATATAGGATTAATGTTTTTATTTAGTGCCACTCTGAGTATATGAATCCATATACACATTATTCACAGCCTAAAGTAACAGTGTCAAAAGTTGCCAAAATACACAGTATAAAATAAAACAGTACAGTTTACAAAAGTGAGGTTCTAATTTGTAAATCTTAAATTAGGCATCAGGTTATTTTAACTTTAAAAAAAATAAATGTCCTGGAAGAATTAGAAATTGATGTATCAAAAAACTAAGTTTTAATTCACTATTTTAATTGCTACCACACTATACTCCACAAAAGGAACAAAATTTAGTGATTAAACTTCTCAAAAAACTTCCACAAAGAACATCTCCTTCCTTTTCCTCACCTGATCTTCCAATACGATGGAGATAGGTCTCTGCCAGCTTTGGGAAGTCAAAGTTTATTACCACATTCACAGCTTGTATATCAATACCTCGGGTAAACAAATCTTTAAAACAAAACAAAAAAAACTACATTATATCCTTCAATTTGGTGTCATAATACTCTTTAACATTTATTTCTAAAGGAACCTAAGCATCACTCAATTCATGCAGTAATTCAAAAGCATTCATACATTATTGGCATTATTTCTCATGCACATTAACCATAAGCAGCTTTCTGTTCACAAGTTACTTTTTCCCAGTGCTGTATCAAAGTTTTAAAATATGGTCTGAGGTAACACAGTGCAAATCAAAGATGACTGAAAAAGCTTATACACTCAAAAATGAGCTCACAAGTATAATTTTCTTCACTCTATTTTTAAGTACTTAATCCAAGGTTAATAAATTATTTTTAAAGTTCACTGCATAATGGAGAATACTTTAAAAAAGAGGCAATCTACCAGCAGTAATTTATACTTTGTTCAGAATTCTGCTGAATGATTCATCCCATTCTGCTGAATGATTTATAACAGGTCTGAGGTAAGCTAATACGCAAGACTATCCCTTCTACTTTTTTCCAGTCCCACAATTATTATACTAATTTAAGCTTTGACAAATACATGTAAAAACAATTCCAATAAGCTCAATAAGCTAATAACTAGGTTTCCCTGGACTTCTCAGCTCCACACGTCAAAATAATCCATGATGGTCAGACAAATATTTCTAATATATTGGTTTGAATTTGTAACATATTATTTTCAACTGTCTCCAGATTAAATTTAAAATTGACATTCAAAGTCCTCTGCTCTATACTCTGGTTGTAACACATCTCAAAACTTCCACTATACCAACCTCACCCACTATATTTCTTCAAACTATCTTCTTAGTGATCTCTAGATTACTTTTTATGCCAGGCCCCTAACAAAATATTCCTTCTTATCCAAGTCTAAAACTCATCTATAGCCTATAAATTACAATTTCATATCTTCTCAGATCACCTCAGCTAGTTATTTCCCTCTCCTATGAAAATTTAGGGTTATTTAACTGTATATGCCTTACACTTGCAAATTACCTTTACTCCCTTGGAGATCTAGCCCAATGCCCGTTTTTGTCAAATTTTACTGCCATAGCCATGGCCATTTGTTAAATATACTGCCACTGAGGTAGAAGAGCAGAGTCAAGTCACTTATAACAGAGACCACATAGTGTGCAAAGTCTAAGATATTTACTACATGGACTTTACAGAAAAAGTTTGCAGGCCCAGTCTGAGGTTCTTTTGTCATCTTTTTATCTCTGATTAAACAACTACTCCTTGAGAAGGGTGGTATTCTGTATGTATTTATACATGTTACACATAAATGTTCAGTACTTATTTAATGATGCATTTGCCCACTGTTCTGAAAAATGAGAAAGAAGAAAGCACAAACACTTATCTGAGGGCAGCCTCAGCAAGTTAATGCTTAAAAATAAAACCATGTAACCACAGCAGTAATTCATAACAATGTGTGAGTTCTCTCAGTACTATGAACTCTTTCTAGGGAAAAAAAAAAGTATTTTTCATTCTCAAATAAGGAAATGGTTAATGGCAAATGGCACCTTTCTCCTTGTCTGTACAGTTGACCCTTGAACAAATCAGGGGTTAGGGTCTCAGTTGAAAATCTGCATATAAAGTTGAAAATCTGCATATAACTTTATAGCTGGCCCTCAGAACCCAAACATTTCTGTATTTATCTCCGTGTATAGCTCAAAAATTAAAAGCAAAAAACTAGGTTCTTCCCTCTATCCAGAAACCTAGTTTAGATTATAAACCTAGTATCAATACTAAGATTATATTCTCAGTGTACAGACAGGAGGCTACTGAATCTAACTGTCCACATGCACCCCCAGTCTGCTTTTCTTTATGTAGTGAAATACACCAGAACACAAACTAGTCTGATTCTGGCAAAAGAAAGAAAGGCCATAATAAACCTCCAAAACATAGTTTCTTAACATAATTCATTTTGCATATGCTAAATAGAACTCATTCCTATATGCTAAAACTATTCAGAAAATACACAAACTCCAAAACTGGTTTAACAGGCAGAGATGAAGCAGGAGTGCCAAAATAAGTGTTCTGCAGTTTCAGGTATGGAATCTAATTTCAAAAGTTAACTACAAAAAAAAAGTTACCTACATTATCATTCTCAACTTCAGAAATTCTAGAAATGGTAGGAGAGGGAGCTGACTATGTCAGGAGCTTCACTGCAGGATAGGCCAGAGAAAGAACAAAACTAGGAAGAAAAACAATGGGTAAAGGAATAGAAAATACCTACCAGTGCAAACAAGATTGCGGCATAAGCCATTTCGGAAATCATGAAACACACGATTTCGATGTTCCTAGGAATAAAGCAATGCATTTATTTGATTACAACTCACACAAGCCTCCAGATTTCCATCATTTTTTTCTCCTACCCAAGCAGTTTCTTTATACCCAAATTTGTTTACATGAATGAGAAAGGAGCCACATTCAATATACATTAAAAACAAAAGGTGAAAAAAAAAAAAATAATAAGTCTCCCATGGGAATTAATAAGCAACAAATATACATGTATTCATATTATCTCAATTCTTAAAGGTATTTTTTTTTTTGCTGGAGTTGGTTTTAAGTGACAATTTTCACCGTATTTACTTCTAAAATGTTTCAAATAAAAGCTGCCAAAAGTTTAGCTTAACTGAAACATCTACTACTTATCTTTTCAGTTATTATATACAAAAGCTAAAAATAACTACTTTTCAGTTAAAAAATGAAAACACACTCAAGCAAAATCAATAAATCTACCATCTGGCAAACTGGTCTTTCCTTTCAATGCAATGTTCTTCCACTCTAAAACATTCTCTTCCATTTTATACTTCATTTCCGGTGGTAATTTTAGTATTAGGTGCCTGCAAGATGGTACCTGATCCATGACAATAAGCTTTTTTGAAAACCATATGTGAGCTGATTAAGTTCTTAACCTGTCAGACTACAGAAACTGCTTTCCTATCATGAAATTTCACAATGTTAGCACACATAAACACAATATGTTGATAGTTTTGAATTTATTTTCTGTTAAATCAAGTTCTGAAACAGATTCCATCCTTTTTCTAAAAGCAAACAATAAAGAGAAAAAGATGAACCTGAGAAGGTACACAGATAAACTAGAACCTTCTACAAACCTTCCAAAACTGTGGCTGATAGTCACACATAATGTGACATCTGAAATGTGGTATGACTGAAGACTATATTTTAAATAGTTTACTGTTGCCAGTGGTTACTGTACTAAACACTAGCCCAAATCTAAGATTATGGGGAGGGAAGGGAATAAAATCTCACATTTCTATTGTGCTTGGCAACTGACAAACTATTCATTCATACACAATCTCAATCTTCCTAAACCCTTGTGAAGTAAGGGTACATACTATTACCCCTGTTTATAGTTAGAAAACCTTACCCCAGAGAAGTTAAAATGAAGGGTCCTTTGCCTACTAAACAGTAATTTATTCTTAAAAACTCAGGGCATTGGAAGAGCATTAAAACAAAATTCAAGAAATATTCAGAAAAGCTTTTTAAAAAATCTATGCAAGTACAAGTTTTACACTCACCTGCCTCATTTTAGCATGGATATAGAAGCAAGAATAACCCAGTTGAGAAATCTTCTTGGCTAGCAATTCAACTCTCTGAGAGGAGTTACAGAAAATAATCGACTGGTTTATCTGAAGCTGAGCACCAGAGTGGGGGAAAAAAAAAGACTTAAGAAAATATTGACAAGCAAATAAATGTTGAAAACACTAAGACTTATAATCTCATGACAATGGAGATGCAAAACTATAAAAATTTTAAGTACTATTCATTTAATAGTTGTAGAAGGTAACGGCACCCCACTTCAGTACTCTTGCCTGGAAGATCCCATGGACGGAGGAGCCTGGTGGGCTGCAGTCCATGGGGTCGCTAAGAGTCGGACACAACTGAGTGACTTCACTTTCACTTTTCACTTTCATGTGTTGGAGAAGGAAATGGCAACCCATTCCAGTGTTGTGCCTGGAGAATCCCAGGGACAGGGGAGCCTGGTGGGCTGCCGTCTATGGGGTCGCACAGAGTCGGACACGACTGAAGCGACTTAGCAGCAGCAGCATTTAGTAGTTGCAGTTAAGCACAGTTAATATAGGACCACTCCTTCCAGGGGAAATAAGAGGGTTAGGTCCCTGTGAGGAACTCGTAACTTTTTTCATCAATGGGTCAACAGATAATCTGGTTTTATGCATATTACTGAGTTTTTTCTGGCTGCACCACATGGCTTGCAGGATCCTAGTTCCCTGACCAGGATCTAGCCCCTGCATTGACAGTGTGGAGTCTTAGCCACCCGACCACCCCATGTGTTACTGTTTTAAAGACACCTTATTTACTCATGGACAACAGCACTATAACTCAGGCCTTTATGAAGTTTATCTAATACATCATCTCTGCAAGATGCATTAGTCTTCTTAGTAGCACTGGACTTGTCAGCACTGTCTAGGGGCCATTTAAAACAGTGGAATCAAGAAAAAAGCACAAAAAAGTGGGGAATGTGGCATTAAATAGACTGTGAAAAGGATGTTCATTTATGAGCTCAAACAAGAGGGCAGGGATAAACAGCATGAAGTCTCAAATTTTTCATGTGTGTCTTCAAAGAGCATCTGAGTACTGATCAGGGTGACTAGGAAATTCTGGCAAGTAGGCAAACTTGCAAAAACAGATCTACTTACAACAGAACAATTATAATTACTGAGAATAATGGGATTACCTGTAATTAAGGTCAAATTATTTTAGAATCAAATTAAAAGTGTCCATAACCTGTCAATCATATAGTATTAGCTTCAGAACAACTGAAACTACCTTTTAAGAAAAACTAAGGACTTTTTTCCTACATTGAAAATGATGAGAAAACTGATACAACTGTTTTATCGAGGTTAAGAAATGGGTAACAATTCAGCAGCTGAAGTCTAACTGGCTCACCCTGGAGAAAAGTGTGTTGAGGCAGTGTACTTTTTGGCGCTCAGTTACATATGCGTAGTACTGGGTTACTCCCTTCAAAGTTAGTTCCTCCATCAGGTTAATCTCATAGGGTTTCTGCAAATGGGAATTCTGAAGGAAAAAAAAAAGTATTATAGTTAAAGCAGAGTTTATCTCTTTAAATAAACTTTAACTCAAAATATATCCTCATACATGTCTATCTGATAAACTCTTAACTGAAGGGATGCAGCTCTCTTTAAAATATATAATCTGTCATTACCATAAATGGGAGATCTAACATTCAGATATACAGCTAAGTTATTACTATTTTGTACTTTAAATATAGATTATGCTGTAATCAATTTATCTAGCATCAATGGCTATGTCAGACACCAGCTTAATTAACAAATAAAAATCAAAATACTTTTGTATCTTAAAACTTGAAACCGGCATAAAATATAGACTAGTAACATAATGTAATTATGGACAAAGGTACACTCATGGGCAATAGGAAGGTACTGCTTCGAAGTACAGGTTTATACTCACCATGAACTTCTGTACACTAAGAGGGAAAGTAGCAGAATATAATAAAATCTGTCTGTTTTTAGGTAGCGTGAGAATAATATCCTCCATTATCTGCACAAAATCCTGTGACAGCAACTTATCCGCCTGCAGTACAAAAAGATCATCTTAAACATAATGAAATCATGTCTAAGGTTTCTGGTTAATAAGGAATCATTCCAGCAAGAGAGTTCACAGAATGTTCCTGGCTATAAACACTATATAGTCCAAAGGCACCAAGACACATTCAGTGATACAAAAAGGAGAAAGTGTAATACTGATCTTCTAAGGGAAGAAAAATCCTAGACAAATATAATCCTTATTCCCATAAATTTTAATGTGATTTCCATTAAAGAGACACTATGGTATAACAGAAGTACAGACTACAGCATTAAACTACCTGTGTTTAAAACCTGTCAGGGATACAGTTTTTTAAGGCAGAAGTAGGGTGTATTTCCCTTTGCCTGGCAAATAATAAAAGCTATCCTTTTCTACTCCACCCCCTCACACACACAAACAGAAAACTTGCCTCCTTCGCTATTATTTATGTTGGGAGGTTTCTTAACTACTATTTCAGTCTCCATAATTTAAAAATCAAGGTGTCTTCTTACTGTATGAATTACTTTATAGGATAACTAACTACCTTATAGGAATGTTGTAAAAATTCAATGAAAAAACACACAAAGCACTTAGTGCTAACACAGTGACTAATAAATGTGATCTCTCATTACTCAAGGATAAAAACCTGTTTCAAATTAGACCAAGAGGAAACGGATCCAGTTATCTTCAAACAGACCAAACAGGAAAATAACTTCACTTCAAAACATCAAAACTGGGGAGTGTGGGGGTGCTCACGGAGAGAATATACACATACTTGGAGCCTGATGTACAGCAAAAACAACACAACACTGTAAAGCTAATATCTTTCAATTAAAAATTTAAAAAACCAAAACATTAACACTGATTTCATATACATATAAAACACTTGCTTGCCAGGTCCCAAGAATGCAGAGCTGAGTAAGTTCTCAAAAGGCACTTATAGTCTGGTGAGATAACACATATAACAGAGACCAAAAAAACAAACAATACCAAGTTGGATATGTTAAATGAGGGGTTTTTAAGATGCCTTTTTTTTTTTAACATGCTTTTTAAGATGAATCACAGAATGAAGAGAGATGTAGAATGGCCTTGGCTTTGAGGTTATTCAATGATTTCTCACTGCAAAATAAAAATAAACTATCTGCCTTCCCTAAGAGAAAGACACAAAGCTGAATTATTCCTATAAACATCTATCATCTATTGCTTTTAAAAGGCAAAACACGTTTTAGAAGCAAGTTAGTTTGAACAAACCAACAAGAGTCATGAATTTACTAGAAGGTCTTAAACAGAAAGAGGTTATGCTTCATTCACTGGCAGTTATAAACAAAGCCAAATCAGAACAGAATAGTATGTTTAAAAATGGAAAAAACATTACCTCATCCAATACTATCATCTGGACATGATCAACTTTTGCTACTCCTTTCTTGATAAGATCCAGGATTCTTCCAGGGGTAGCTATCACCACATGCACTACACAAGATTAGAAAACATGTATTTTCATTAATTTTAGTTGGGGCAAAAAAGATACAGTAAAGGTTTATCACACATATATTTTATCAGAAACACTGCTGCAGGAAAAATACAAAGAGGCAAAGATGTGTTTTAGAATATGGATTTCCATCTTGTCTTCAGTTGGCTATAGAATACCAGTTAGTTTCACCTCTGCACGTGGTGGGCTACAGCTTTCCAATTCACCTGTTCCAAATAAGGAACATAGTTCTTTGTCTTAGGGAAACCCCCAGGGAAAAACAAAAAGTATGCCAAACTTTTGGCAGCTTGCCTCTAATCTATTAAAAGATCAATGGCCTGCCAAGACTGTAACAGGATCAAGTAAGACAATTATATTAAATTAACAAGGCAGTACAAAGAATACAGTAATTAATCAAGTAACAATCATATATAAAATCCTGACTAAAATTCAATGTATAACGTTATGTAAGTGGATTTCAACTCTTGCTGTTTTCTTTTTTCACTAAATAATGTATCATAGAGAACTCTTCATGAAAATTAATACAGACAAGCTGCACTCTTTAATGGCTGTGTAGCATTCCATTCAGTCTATATCCCAATATATTTAGCCAAATTTCCCTGATATTTAGGTCCAGTTTTTCAGTACTACAAACCACACTGTAGTAAACAACTTTGCATTTGTCCAATTATTTCTTCAAAAAAAAAGACTGTTAAAAACATACATTTATAATTTTGAAACGCAACGCCAAATTTCCCACCATAGAGATTGTATCAATCTATACCCCCATGTTGCAAGACAACAAATTTCTTCACAAATGCATATTACTGGTTACTAATTAGCCTTTCCAATCTTAATTAATTTTGTCAATCAGGTAGGTATAATATCACTTTACTGTTTTTATATGCAATTTAAAAAATTACTAGTAAGGTTAAATATCCTTTCAATGACTAATTTTTTTCTTCTTGACTGAAATGGTCATTTCCTTTACTTATTTTTCTACTGCAATGTTTGTTCCCTATTTTAAAAACAATTTTAATAAACTACTGAAAGGAAACACTTGTGTGTCAAATTACAGAGAGCAAGCCAGCTTATATCCAATCATTTCCTACCTGTATCATCAAGCCTCATTATGTCATCCCGTAAATTGGTTCCTCCTGTGGTTGCCATCACTTTGGCCCCTCCCATGTGTTTGCTGACCTGGATGCAAATTTGACTGACCTGTAGAGCAAGTTCTCTAGTGGGAACAATCACCATTGCTGGAAAATATCAACAAACAGAAAAAAGGAGGGGAGAAAAAAAAAAGCCATATATTAAGAGTTTAAGAAGCTACAGAAATATTGCCCCTTGTAATCAAGACATTCAAATGAATAAATTTCAAAAAAATAACCTTATTATATAGTGTACCAGAAAGAGAAGGAGCTAAGATGGCGGAGGAAAAGGACAGGGAGACCACTTTCTTCCCCACAAATTCATCGAAAGAACATTTGAACGCTGAGCAAACTCCACAAAACAACTTCTGAACGCTGGCAGAGGACATCAGGCACCCAGAAAAGTCAGATTTAGACTTTTCCTCAGTAACAATGCTGTACTATTCTACTCTTCCTGGTTACAAAGCCTTAAAGGGTCCTTTGAGTTGGCAATTATTAGCTCAAAATTTATTAATATTTTAGTAAGAGATCACTAGTCAAAATGCCCAAAAAGGAAACTCCTGCTGCCCAGTTCTACTTATATCATATGAACATAATAGGAAGATGGCAGAAATAATTATTATAGATCAAGAAAGCATGGGGATAAAAAAAACTGAAAATTTTAGAAAAAGCTTTCAAGGTGAAAACATAGATCTATTAGCTTACTTTGGGTACAGCTATGGAAACGTGTTTCTTCCCTACTGCTTTAGATTTTAAAATCCCCAAGCCACAAGGCTTCAGAGAGAAAAAGTTCCTGCTTTGACAAGGAACTCTGCAGACACAGCTGTCACAAGAAACGTTCTAGTTCCGTAGTTTTAAGTACCTATTTCAGATCATTTATTTTCCCTATCTATAGGACAATAATTCTTATTTTGCCTATGTCACTGGAATGGTGTTGTAACTGTATAATATGCAGAAGAACCTTAAAAACTAGAAATCTCTTTTTAAAAAGTTAGGAATCATTTTTACAAGACAACCAGGCCAAAAGCTGTGAAAAGGGTAAATACTTATTTCAGATGATTTAAGTTCCACCTGAGAAAAGATGGTAATATCTTCTATACATATCCAAGATTTAAATCACCATTTATGGTTTGAACAACCAACCTTGTATATTGTCCTTCTTCAGGTCTAGCCGTTCAAGTAAGGGAATGAGGTAGGCACCGCTCTTGCCTGTTCCGTTTTTTGCTCTAGCTAAAATATCCCTACCAGATAAAGCAATGGGAATGCTCTCCTCCTAGAAGAGATCAAACAATGCATATTACTTGTGAATAAACACAGTACATAGGCGAGTTCTTCTCTAAAAAGTACACAAAGTTCCTTGGTATTGAAGTATTTTACAAAAGTAAAGACCAAATAAATTAGCAGGACCAGTCAATATCACCATTAGTATCAACTGACATTTATCAGAACTATTCATAAAATACATACTAAATTTAGTAATAAAAATCTTTGAGTTTGTATGTGTGAGCATCAACAACAGAGAAAGAGGAGGAACTTGGGCTGACACAATAAACACAGAGGAAAAAAAGCAAAGGACATTTCACAATTAAAAACTGGAAGAAAAAACAGCACAAACAATATTCCAAAGGACTATATGATATTCTGAGACTAGTAAACCAACCTGACCACCATAAAAAATTATAGGTTGGACAATTTTATTCCTACATAAATAGGATTCAGCTGGAAAAGTTTAGTCTTGGGTCCTATCTTTTTTTAAAATTGTATTACATAATGACTAATGTCTGTCTCGAAGCCAACTTCTGTCCTGAGATGGGCCCTAACTTCTCGTTTTCAAATTTGGCTTACTCATGTGTGCTTCACACATGAGTGTTTTGCAGAAGATAATATTTCTTATTAGGGCAAATTTCCTAGACAATAGCAAAGGATTTTCAACAATTACTAAATATTAAACACATATATACAGAGAGAAATTTAAAAAGGTAAAACAGGTATGAACAGAGGAAGTAGAACACTTCTATTTCTAAAACTAATTTCTACAACTAGAAAATTAGAAAAATAAATTAGGAAAAATACTCACAATCACTATAATTAGTTTTTTCTATGCTTCAGCTAATGACCAAAACAAATATCTCTAGCAATTTAAAACTGTTACTGGAGAAATACCCAAGTCATCAATCAGCGTCATGACTTTCATTTCCTACCATGACACTTATTTTAGAACCCCAATCACAGGGGTCAGACGGGTTCCATATAATCAGAATAACTAACATTGCTGCCAGAACAACTGTGAAAACAGTTCAGTGATAACACTGTTATCTTACTCCAACAGCCAGCATTAAACAGTCTGCTTACTACGTAGGGTGAAGCAGGATAAAGAAGAAAACTTTGCTTTGCCCCTCTGGTCTTAAATCCTTCCTTGCTTGAGCCCATGTGTGTAGTTACTCAGTCGTGTATGACTCTTTGTGACACTGTGGACTGTAGCCCGCCAGGCTCCTGTGTCCACAGGATTTTTCACGCAAGAATACTGGAGTGGGGGTGCCATTTCCTTCTCCAGGGTACCCTGACCCAGGGATCCATGTCTCCTACAGCTCCTGCTTTGCAGGGAGATTCTTTATCCTTTGAGCCATAACTCTGAGTCAACTCTATTAATTTTCAGTTGTCCCGAAGGCCAATTATCACATGGGTTCATTCTCTATTATGGTTTTTAAATAGGTTACCAGTATACCACTCAGTTCGACAGCAGAAAAAGACTTTAGTCTCTCAGTGACTTCCTGAGTCAGATCCTTTAAAAGGATAAGATATCTCAATGAACTGAGACAGAATAGAATTAGATTGGGGGTATCCTAATTCCTTTTTGGGGTCTACACTGTGACTTAGATTAAAGGCCACTGACTTCTATTTCTCTGCTCTTTGACAGGACTTATGTTCTACAGAAACAGAAACTATTTAAGAACAGGGCTTTAACAAAGTGAGCTAGCTAGCCTGTAAGTTAAGATGCACTGTACTTTGTCTCATACGGTGGCTATTATGATTAGCAGTCAGAGAATTCAGTATATTCACACTGTCTCTTACCACTGTTTGCTAGGAAGATTAAACAATATGAAGTGAGAAAATTCAAGTCAGATTCAGAAAGCTTTGAAACTCAAGAGAAATCATGGGAAACTGCCAGGGAGAAGAGAAAGGAGGAAGGAAGCTAAAAATTTTAAAAACTTACTGTGATGGGTACTACACTTAGATACTTAATGCTAATTATATCCTTTCAAGTTAGGTTACTTTTTGTCTTACAAATGGCAAAATAGATCCTCAAGATTGTTTTGCACAAGGTGACTAAGCAAGAAATGCTAGAATCAGGATTTGAACTTAGTTCTGCAAATAAGAGAAACTGGAACCTCATATACTACTAAGTAGAATATACAGCCCATTTTGGAAAATAGTCTGGCAGTTCCTCAAAAAGATAAAAAATTACCATATGAACCAGCAATTCTACTCCTAGGTATATACCCAAGAGATATGAAAATACCCCCACAAAAAATTTTATATACATCAGTGTTCAAAAAAGCATTATTCATAATAGCTAACAGTGGAAACAACCCTACCAAATGAGGAATGGATAAACCAAATGTGGTACAGCTATACAGTGGAATACTATTCAGCAACAGAAAGGAATAAAGTACTGACACATGCTACAATATGGATGAATCCTAAAAATATGCTAATTCAAAAAGCCACAGCTAAGTCACAAAGAGCATATACTTTATGATCCCATTTACATCAAATTGTCTAGAATAGGTCAATCCATACAGACACAAAGTAGATTAGTGGTTAGAGCTAGGGGAAGAAGGGTAACTACTAAGTTTCTTTTTGGTGAAAATGTTCTAAAACTAATTGTAGTAATTGGCTGCACAACTATGAATATATTAAAAAAAAACCCACTGAACTGCATTACTTAAAATGTGTAAACTGTATCTCCGTGATCTATATCCTAAGGCAAAAAACAAGCAAACAAAACACCACCAGAACACAAAAACCAAACACTCAAAAACAATCCCACGAACTTAAAGGTATGTCTGATTCTGCCACTTTAGCTCTCCAAAGTCCATGTTCCAGTTCCACTCTAAGGTCTGGGGACTGAGCCAATATGTATTTATTGTGTTTTAATAACCCTAGTATCCATTTCCCTTTCTTTGCTGTTGTTCAGCCACCAGTCCTGTTCGACTCTCTGTGACCCCACTGAGAGCGGCACACCAGGCCTCCCTGCCCCTCACCATCTCCCTAAGCTTGCCAGAGCTCACGTCCACTGCATCAATGATGCCATCTGGCCATCTCATCCTCTTGACACCCCCTTCTCTTTCTGCCCTCAAGCCTTCCCAGCATCAGGGCCTTTTCCAATGAGTTGGCAGTTCGCATCAGATGACCAAAATACTGGAGCTTCAGCTTCAGCATTCAGGGCTTCTTGGTGGCTCAGATGGTAAAGAATCTCCCTGCAGTGCTGGAAAACAGGCTTCGATCCCTGGGTTGGAAAGATCCCCTGGAAAAGGGAATGGCTACCCACTCCAGTGTTCTTGCCTGGAGAATTCCATGGACAGAGGAACCTGGCAGGTTACAGTCCATGGGGTCTCACACGACTGAAAGATTAACACTTTCCCTTTCTTAGTAGCACCCTAAACTTTTTTCTGAGGAATTACATTCTCTCCAGCCCCCGATGGATAATCCAGCCAACTTCCGCAGCCAAATGAAGACAGCAACTGCTTTTTAATTCCTAGGGTCAGTTGAACTTAAATCTTAATTTCAGGGAGAACAAAACGGATACTGTGGAGGCAGTTATGATTAAGGTATCTACTGCTCCCTAGAAAAAAAAGGAGATGGAAGACAGTAATTTCAAAAATAGTATCTCCAGTCTAAGGAACACACTCCAGTTTTACCATAGTATCCAATGAAGACATGCACTTAAAGCCTTTTTGAGAATTTAGGAAAACAATTCTTTTAGCCATAGTAAATTCGTGTTAGCAGGAGGAATGAATTACAAAAGAATTAAGAATGTTCTCATTCTTAACTATAAATTTGACCAATGACTAATTAGACTTGGTTAATGAAATAATTCCTCAAAATAACTTCGATTCCCAACTTAATATGAAATTTGGTTGCCAACAGAAAGTTAACTTTCGTTTTTCTCTCAATAATTAACTACCTGCTATTCCATCACCTTCTTATCTATAAAGTCCTCAAAAGTAGTGTCTAACGTCTGGAAACAGCAAGAGTTGTCATCTTTCAATCATCTCCAAGTTAATATAAGGTTTTGCAATGGTAAGCAGAATAAAACAGTAGACTCTTAGGTACCCCAAAAAAGCCTGTAGCTATGCCTTTAGAATTGCATGGTTATGTTACTGTGCATAGCATTCAGACCTAGAACTAGAGTCACAGATGGCTGTACCAAAGATGTGTGGAACCAATCTGTAGTGTATCTGGTTCCAGTTTGTCAGTGTAAAATTATATCCTCTCAAAAGAAGATTTTAAGTGCCTAATTTTCCCACCATCTTATACCATAGCCTAAGTGCAACCAAGTTTCATCTCTAATGGAGGTGACACCCATCAAGAGGCTTTTATATTTGGAGGGGAAAAAAATGCCGGATAACACGGTAAAACTAAGTACTATACAAGACAACAGACACATTTGGGGGCGGGGGGGGGGGGGTGGTGAGAAAACAATGACAAGAAAATAAGTAAGGAGAAAAGGTAGATAAAAACAGTAGAAGAATGCCAGTCATGAGGCTGGATTTCACTAGAGAACCTATTTTTGAAGTGCTAATATTTATGGTTTGTTACACCGAGTCTAAGAAACATGTTATCTTATATTTTCCATGGATTTTCAGACAAAGCAATACTACAGGAAAAGCCAATGTGAACGGCAGTCTCAGGTATGTGTAATACCTTACATTCATACTGTGCTTGCTATTTCAAAATACACTTTGAAGCACTACAGATTCATTTCTATCATTGCAATCAAGTGAGTCACACAAATATTTTTGTTTCCCAGTGCATACAAAAATTACATTTATACTGTAGTCTATTCAGTGTGCAGTATCATTGTGTAAAAAAACAACATACATACCTTAATCTAAAAATACTTTAAAAATACTAGCTGTTATCTGACAACACAGGGTTGCCACAAACCTTCAATTTGTTTAAAAAGCAAACAAAAAGACAAATGCAGTATCTGCAAAATACAATAAAGCAAAGCACAATAAAATGAGGTATGTCTGTACATTATATTTGATCCTCACAAAAAAAAAACTCTGTGAGGGAGATCATTTCTACTTTACAGAAAAAGCCATATGGTAGACTGGCTAAGTGGCTGGGGAGTTACTTGCCTATATGCTATACCCAACTAAGGATGCAAATAACAAAGTGAATTTAAAATTTTAATACAAAGGTGTGAAACATGAGACATTAAGGGTCCATTAAGAATTAAGTCTGCTAAATGAACCATATTTTTTGATAAAACTACTACATAAATTAAAAACCCATAATATTTATTGAGCATATATCACTTAATAGCCACTGTACTAAGGATACTAACATGAGTTACCTCACTTAATCTTTACAACAACTCTATGGTATACACTGCTGTTACCAACTTTATAGGCCAGAAAGTTGAGGCTTAGAGACATCTCAAATAATCAACTTGGAAAGGAGCAGAGCTGGATTCAATCTGGGCAATCTGAATGTAAAGCTAGTACTCTCAAACAGTTCTCTAGACCAAGTTCACCTACAGACATCTGTTAATCATAATTTCATCAAAACAATACAACTGAGGGGATATTTCCTGCCACACACCTTGCTAAGTATAGAGTTACAAAGTGGAATGATTCAGTAGAAAAGCACCCATAAAACTCTTCATTCCTATAGATAAAACAGACTAGCATGAACTACATTATAAAAAAGTAAATTCCTAAATATTTTTGGTCTCTGCACTCAGACTGCCTGATGAGGTATAACTTTATCTTCACACTTTCTCCAACCACAACAAAATTCTTCCAGCTTGTCCACAAAGGCACTCTCATTCCTAGGCAAGCAGTATTCTAGTTCTCCACTTGGAACATGGATCATTTCTTCCAAGTTGTTCCATTTTCTCCTAATGTCTACATATATGTGCCCATTATATTACAGGGAAATTACCTGTATAATTAGCAGTCCTTTCCATCAGACTGAGTGCAGGAACCCTATTTATCTTGTTCATCGTAACACCCTCAGGGTCTAACACTTTCTAGGTCACTTGATACATGCTTGTTCAATGAAAAAGTGCTCAATGATGTCACAGAGTTTGTCCTGAGTACAGCTTGGATTTGACAGCTTCAACTTATGTGAAGACAAAAGACACATCAAATTTGTATATAGGTCTGCATACGTGTGTGTATATATACATATATTTCCTTGCTCTTTCCACTGAAAAGAGTGTACCTAGTGTTTAGATCTTGGTCTCTAATATTATTGCCAACTAACTGGAATCCGAGTTCTTTGGAGAAACAGCTGATTCTGAGGCTGGGGAAGCGTAGCTGTCCCGGTAAGCTTGGCATCATGATATACCACCAAAAAGGAAGTGCTCAAGAAAAATGAAGGGGGAGGGAAAGGTAAAAAGATAGAGAGCACAGAGTTCAGTGACACTACTCTGTATGATACTATAATGGTGGATACATGTCATTATACATTTATTCAAACCCATAGAATGCACAATAACAAGAATAAACCCTATTGTAAACTACAGACTTTGGGTGATAATATGTCAACACAGGTTCATCAGTTTTAACAAAAACTGCTCTTGTGGGTAATGCTGATATCAGGGAACCTATGCATGAATTTCGGCAGGGATTTATGAAAAATCTCTTATGCTCAATTGCTATAAACTTAAAACTGCTTTACAAAATAGTTTATCAGAGGAAAAAAATGAAAGAGGCACATTAAAAAAACAAAGGAACTGGCTTGAAGGAGCTCACATTAGCCAAATATGGGACAATTCAAGCACAAAAATACCATTTAGTAAAAAAGGAATTTATAAGTTATACTGACAATATACAGATATATCAAGGAGGAATTAGGGGGAAATTTTGATGAATAGTTTATCGGCATTGCCTCAAATGCTCCCTGTAGACTGTTAGTTAGTTTCAAGGGGAGGGGGTAGAGCAGGAATTATGTAGTATAAAAATCAAGATACCATTTTGAAAGGGTAATCAAAATTAAAATCACCCTTGGAATAAATGAACACTGTAACTCCGAAAGTGACTTCTGCAGTGTTCTGGTTAAGAATGTATAACTTGAATCAAATCACATGGAAACAGGAGACAAACTCAAAATGAAAAATGTTCTACGGGAATAAAAAAAGGAAGGGAGCTCTATTTTTAACATGTCAATGTCATAAAAGACAAAAAAAAAAAAAAAAAAAAACAAGAGTAGGGAAAAACTCACTACTAAAAGAGATATAACAATTACATGCAATATCTGATCCTAGGATGGGTCCTGTACAAAGAAAAAAAATGCTTTAAGACAAAATTTGGGGCCCAATTAAAAATCAGACTACAAATGACAGATGAGTTAGAAATACTGCATTAAACTGACTGAACATAACTGTACTATGCTTATTCAAGAGAATATCCCTGTTCTTAGGAAACATACAGTGAAACATTTAGAGACAAAGTGCCATGATTTTGTAACTTACCCTTTTAAGGTTCAGAAAGTGTGTGTTCATGTACAAGCATACATACATGTGCACACACACTGGAAAGCAATACTGGTTCACTAAACCATCAAAAAGTATGCAACACTTAACTCATAACATTACATAGGAGGTAAAAAGGGGAAATATACCTGAATAGGAGATGGCTTTTCCCAGCCCATTTCGAAAATTCCCATCAGCAACTCCCGTTTCAAACAGTAATCTTCAAACTCATTTCCTTTTGTGGAGGTCACATCCTGGTCAAACAAAAACAAACGGACCACATCAAAGAATGAAGTACAACTGTGTTCCTTTAGTAATTACCATGTTTAAGAAAGTGTCTGAGAGACTAATTCTTTATCCCATTTAAAGTATAAATATATGCACATTAGTTCTCTATCCTAATCTACAGTTCAACTATTTTTGAAAAACAGCCACTCTAACACAAATAAGCCATTTAAAAGCTATGTTTTGGGGAAAGACCAGCCACCCTGTGGTCATTTTCTTCTAAGGAGTGATGGAATACTGTTATTTCTATGTTAAGTACCATGCTGTGAACTGCAAACCACAAGATGTAAAGTCAAAACCTAGTTCTACCATGCACTGCCTACAAACATCCTAGTCTAAACCAGAGTTTTTCAAGCCCAGCACCATTGACATTTGGGCCAGAAAATTCTTTGCTCTAAGGGGGCTGTCCTGTAGCATACCCTCAGCTGTGATAACTTATTGCTAAATGCTTCTGAGGGGAACAAAAATCTCCCTTGGTTGACACTGCTGGGCTAAGAGAACTAACCTCTCAACTTCAGTTTTTCCATCCATAAAATGTGGATAAAACCTAACCTGAATCTTACTGTGCTTCTAGAAACAAAAGAGAATTTTGAGAAAATGCCATGAAAACTATAAGTGTTCAACAAGTGAGATAAGATACACATATGTATAAACACAATATTTAATATGGATACACATTATTACCAATTCCTCCAAATAGTGTAAATTTTTGGCAATTAATCATATATAAGCTATACAATTTCAACCACTTAATCTTACTTAAGAGTAAACATACAGTGCCTACTGTCATCATCAAGTAACTACTTCACTTTTAAGAGTTTCCACATCATTTTGTCTTCCACTTGAATTCTATAACCAACTTACCGAAGTTTTGATTCTTAGATCCTTTGGAGGGAGTTTTAAAGTCTTTTTCCAGTCATCACCAGGTCTAGAGAGAATACAGTAAAATTGAAGTATCAGAGTTCACAGCATTACTACTCTAAAATACAAAGGTAATTCATCTTGATAATAATTTCTAAAAAGCACACTAAATTTAATATATTGCCATTTACTTAAGAATACAGGTTAACAACAGAGATAAGCAACTCCAGAAAAAATACTCTTTCTTACAAAGCACAACAATCCAGGGAGAACTTAAAAAATCAAGACTATAAGGGAAAAAGATATCCATCCTCTTTAAGAGAAGCATGTTGTATACAGTTCAACTGTTTTCAAAACTGGTAATCCGTGTGCTTTGTCTGACCTAAATAGTACTACTTAATTTAAAGTTGCCAACATTAAAAAACTAGGAGATTTTGTATAAAGTTGATTCTGGATTTTCTTGGGGGGGGGGGGGAACTTTAGCAGCAACATTGGTTCCAAATTTCTGCATAGCAACAGTTTGATAGGCATTAGTAACTGGAGTTTAAAATCAAGTACCTGATGCCTTTAAATAGGTCAAGTCCCCTCTCATCTGGCAGTCCCCTATAGGCATCTGATTTTGTAGCTCCTGGTGGCTAGTTAAAACCAAAGAATCTATAAAGTTTCAGACTTCAGTTCAAGCCTTGACTCTTCTACATATCAGTTCTGTGACCCTGCAACAGTCACTTTCCTAAATCTCTATTCTCTCATATATAAAATGAGATAAAAACTATATAAAATAGCTTCTATAAAGCACTCAGCACAGTGCCTGGAAAAATTAGTTGTTAATAAAAAACATCTCTCAATCTTTTTTAATGGGGATGCTTGAAACCATGAAAGAAAATAACAAAGAAAACAAAAAATTTTCTTTTTGGTCATGTAAAAACTTCAAGTAATATAATATTCAAAGCATCTAACAGAAAAAAAGACTGTCAATAAAGCAGACAATGCTTTCAACTGTCTTAAGTTTTCACTGATTTAATGATAACAACTCTTAATTACAGCCCCCCCAACATCTCGAGCATTCATTCAGGAAGATAAGCTTATCTTAAAGCTTCATCCCACATAATCCAAGATACCCTATCACAGGAAACTATCTGCCACCAAATCCAAGAGTTCTAAAGCCTTTCACCCCCGTCTATAACACCACATCACAGTTTCTGAGCACTGTCAGCTGAACATCCTAGTAGGCCAGCTTGTCACATTGTCAAATTCACTAAACAGTGGATAAAGATGCAGACGATACAACAGAAAATCTGCCCACAAAAAAATTTATCATCTTAGAAAGTTTAAAAAAAATTTTTTAGTGAGATTAACTAACAGAGACAGGTATTAACCATCTCTGAGACATGGGATCTAGGAGTCTTCACAGAAGAGATAGTTATTTCAACTGAAATTTAAAGAGTCACAGAACTGAAAAAAAAAAACAATTTATCTAGGAAAAGAAAAAAAAAAAAAGGCAAAATTCACTACAGTCTCAAATCTGAGTTTAAGTATAAAATGCTCCCAAAATGGAATAATGCATCTTTATGTTTCCAATTAAAAGTAGACTAAATGTTGCTAGTCTACTCATATTTTGTCAAGACAAACTGCAATTTAGAAAAATTTTTTATTTCTATACTAATTATTCACCTCAAAAATAATATGCATTAATGCCAATTCTCCCAGTGACCAAATGAATTCTGTTGAAAATTTGGGCTATTTTTCTTTAGTAAATGCTTCTTTTAAGCACAGAAAAGACTTAGACTGTAATAAAACACATATACTTTTTGAGTTTCATCATATTTCTAGAGGTTAAATCAACTTACACAGCTAGATTCTTAACAAAGACAAATATCAAATGGGTCAAGATTCTTAATTTTCTATTAAACTGATTCTTTGGAATCATAGTTACCATTCACATACTTTAAAAAGTGTACACTTCAAGATGACAGCCTACACGCTTTCAAATTTAAAAGAAAAATATTCCACAGTAAAATAAGGCTCTTAGTTTTTAAAAGTCTTCAAAGAGGTTTGGGACTATTCAGAGATGTGTTCCAAAGAGCTCACAAGTCCTGAGTTCCCTATGATATAAACTGCTTGTTATTTTGCGTGTGTGTAAAAGGAGAAAGCGTATTTTAAAAATAAATAAAATAGGACAGAAAAGCAAAGTGTCATAGACTAAAAAAAAAAGTTATGGATAAAGTTTCTGAGTACTTTTTAAGTTCAGAAAGCTGGACAAGTGTTTAAGATTGGCTTTAACTGCCATTCAAACTAGGATAAAGTCAAGTTATCACACTAGGAAAAAAGCCATACTGGCAAAAACAAGATGAATCTGAGCACATTATGAAAGCCAGAAAAGTTTCAAAAAATACTCTATGCAAAAGTAATATATATTATCTGTGCCTATGTTTGTTACTTAACAAACATGAATTAATTATGACAGAGATACATTCTTCTATCACAAATACCTATTGACCATAAACAGTCATCTGTCCTTTATTCACAATCAAAATGGTTAAACTAAAATGGTATACATAGTCAACAACAAAGTAGCAAAATAAACTTCCTTGGTCCCCCAAGTGTGTTTATTATTTATTCTAACACTTACTTAATAGTGGTGGTCATACTCTGTGCTTGCTGCTGAGTGCCATTATTGATTGTGTTGGTGTTTTTCAGCTGGTTCATCTGTTGCTGAGTCTGTGTGCCCCCTCCTCCGGGGCCACCACTGGGCTTCACAGGGCCCCTCAGCTGACCATTTTGACTGGACAGACCCATTATAACAGGGTTCTCTGTTCTGGCCGTGCTCATGCTGTATTAACTTTAAAGATGTCTCTTTCAAACTTCAAAACTTTTGAAAGTCAGTAGAGAAACTGTAATAACAGTTTATTAGGCTCTCCAAAACGAAGAGATAAATATAAGTCTTGCTCAATATATGAGTCCTTTATTGCAATGCAGGCAAGCACCTGTAAGTCTCTGAACGGTAAGCAGCAGTAACTTGCTCTCATGCAGGAATCAATTCTTTTTTTTTTTTAAAAAAAGCCCTCTAACAAGGTTGAGTTATGTATCTGAATCTCACTTCAATCTGAAACAAAGAAAAAAAGTTAAATCAGCAAACACAGTAAATTTTGAAGGAAAAAAAAAACCCTTTGTTGTTTCCATTTGAAGAACTCCTTTAGAAGCACTCTCTTCTTTTAAAGAATTAAGAATACAGCTGCATGTAGATCAAATCACTACCCAGGATAGGAAAGAGGGGGGAAAAAAAGAACTGCTTCAAAAACCAAACCTGCACTAAGACAGATCTCATTTTAAATTGTCACTTCAAAGCAACCCAGAATATATCAGGTAGAACAATACTGTGATTAAATTAGCATTAGCTGTCAGATGATAATCTCTTCCCTTCAGTTTCTTCCCCGAGGAATTCTCTATAGTCCCTGCCACCTCTAAAAGTCAATGATTCATTACATTCAATTGCATCACAACTCAATGAAGAATGGCACAACTTAATTAATGTAAATCTACAGAAGAACAAGGCAAAACAATTCATTCTTTTTTTTCCTATTTCTGACAACTGAGAATCCTTGAAGAGTTGAGCTTTTGATTTCACTCTGCGTAGCATCATGTACGCCCTTATGAATTGCAACCAAAGAAGTTAAACTTGAAGAAAACTACATTTTCTTTTTCCCCCTAAGTTTTTGCCCTTTAAAACAATAACTAAAGCAGTCAAGGGACATAAATACATCTACACTTCAAAATCTTCTGTTCAAAAAACAGCCAAGAAAACTTTAGCTGCCTTAATTAAGACTGACTACTACAGAACTGTTACATTTAAAAATATAACCCTTTTCAAGAGTATGTCCCAACTTGATGTAGCAATTTTTTAATTAAAAAAAAAAAACCAACTCACAAAAAGGAAATTGTTACTCAGTCACAAAGTCTCACTCAACTCTCTGTGACCCAAGGACCCCATGGACTGCAGCATGCCAGGTTTCCCTGTCCTTCACTATCTCCGAGTTTGTTCAAACTCGTGTCCATTAAAATGGTGATGCTATCCAACCACCTCACCCTCTGTTGCCCCCTTCTCCTCCTGCCCTCAATCTTTCCCAGCACTAAGGTCTTTTCTAATGAGGAAATTACCTGTATTTAAAAAAAAAAAAAAACCCACAGATCTGCTAAAGAATAAAGACATTACTAACTTTAATCCAACTTTCTAGGACACCCAGAGTACTGATTACGTTATTTTTAAAATTATTCCACAAATAAAATTATTTTTTTAAAAAAGACCTAAATTTCACAACCGCGGGTGGGAGGAAATAAAGGCCTACTCTGGTGTGTTAACACCTTTACATTTCTTACCGAAAATACAGCAGCTAATTAATTACTGTTCCTTCTGAAATACACCAAAGCTTCTCAAACAATACAAATTTTAAATTCTCTTTGATGTCTTTTTTTAAATTGAAAATAAAGTTGCTCAAAAACTGTATATTTTGAAGTTATCCAGAAACTGACTGACCTCTTAAGTAGTTAACAGACACCTAATTTCAGTTCAAGGTAGTAGGTGGTTTCCTGTATTGACAGGTTTATATTATGATCAGCGATATCACCTATTTCACACCCAAAGATTACTTATTTGCAAACCTAAGAGGATGAAGAGGGCAACTTATAAAGATTAAATGGTATCATTACTGTCCATCATGCACACAAGACCTCGTTATCTCCCTAGAGCCAAAATGTGACTATGTGAGAACTGCTCCCCTCTTCATTAACCTACCACCTGCACTGCAGCTTTACGTCTCAGGAAAAGAAATATTCCTCCTACCCCTTCCCAATTTAGATTTCCATGTTGTATTTCTACATTTCAAAAATACGAACGAAACAGAGACTAGCTGGGAGGGAACACTAGCGGAGTTATTACGGCACTTCCCAGACTGTAGTTAGCGATTGACAGTTTCACACCCAAAACAGTCTCGTCATCTCCAAAAAGACCTTTTGTTTGCAAATGCAGCGCAGTTTCTCTAAGCTCGGTTTCAAGTTGGAGTGACTCTTCTATTTTGAAGGGGCAAGGGGACTGAGGAAGAGAAAGGGGAGTGAGTAATAAAGGAAAGAAGGAAATGATTTTGATTTGCAAGCAAATAATTTCTTGTTCCCCCCTCCTTCAAGCCCCCCTCCAAATCCCCTACACACTCCAAGTCAGCTCCCTGGGCCCATAAACACAAAAGGGTTCAGGCCCTGTAATCGTATCTGCGCAACAAGAGCAGAGAACCGGCTCCACAGCTAGGAAACAATAGGGACTCCCCCAAAAGAGAATCATTTAAGTCAGACAGCCCCTTCTTTCCTCCGAGATTCGGGGGCTCCATAATCCCCCGTTACCGACCTGCAAGGCCTTACTCGTCAAGCAGCCGGTCCTCTTCCAAACCGAGCCCTCCGCTACAGCATATCCCTGCCGCCCCCTATAGGGCCGCCTCATACCCTATAACCTCCACCATCTCCTTAAGTCCTTGCCGCCCCCTACGGTCCCACCCTCCCTCGTCACCCACAAAGCTTTGAGGAATTCTCCCGCTCTTCCTCCGGACCCCTCCGGGCACAACACTGCTCTATGCTACTCCTCCCAGTGCCCCCACCCCACAGCTGGCGCCCGCCGCCCGCCTTCCTCCCCAAGGCCCGGCCAGGCCTCAGGCCTCCGCCTCAGAGCGCCCCCCACGCCAGCCTGGGGGCTTCCTGCAGCCCCCGCGACACGGCCGACCGCCACCCCCCCACCTCACCCCACTCCCCGCGGCTCAGGCCCGAGTCCTACCACCGAGGCCACTCCCGCTCGGCACCCTCGGTCCTTTATTGTTGACTCGAAGCTCCCAAAATGGCGGCGGCTCCTTCCTCCTCGGAAACCTCCGCCCGCCCCCACCCGGCCCCTCGCTTCGGCCTCCTCCCGCCCCCGCCCCGCCCCCGCTCCCGCTCTGGGGGCCGCTCAGGCCGGCCTGCCTTCGCCCGCCCGCTCGCTTCCCCGGCCGCCCAGCCCTACCTCCACCGCTGCCCGCTCTCAAGGCGCCGCCGAAGCCGCCGCCCGGGCTGAGCTAACTCGGCTCCCCCGCCCCCTCCGTCGTCGACCGTCCCCCCCACCCGTTCTCCGCATGGCGGCCGCCGCGGCTCCTCCTCCGCGCAAGATGGCGAGCGCCCAGCTGCCGCCGCTGCACCCGTCGCGGCTCCTCGGCCTCCGTTGCTTCGCGTCAGGAGAAATCCGGGCCGAGGAGCCTTCCTCAGGAGAAAATGGAGGGCAGTGTTTTTCCACCGACGGGGAGCCTGCGGGGGCTGAAATGGAGGGGAAGTTGAAAGGGAAATATGGGTCCCTTCAAAGAGAAAGGAGGACTGCCTTTTCCACAGCTAAGGAGAAATGATCCGGGAATGGTGGGTGGGAAGAGTTCCCCCCCAAAGTGGAAGTCGAGGGCTTGGGACCCGAGGAGGATCTGCTTATTCCTGACTAAGGACCCGGTAGCGATTCGGGGACGAGAGAGCTGACCTGCCATCTCCCGCGGGCCAGGGAGGCTGCTGCAGGTCCAAGGGGGCCGCGTCCGAGCCCCTCCGGGGCGCGCCTCCATCCAGGAACGCGCGGAACCAGTGGTCCGGAGGCGCCGGCACGAACCCGGGTGTGGGGACAGGAAAGGGGACCAGCTGGGACGGGTGCAGCAGGGAGAACCCCGGGGAGAGCGCGGGGCGGGGGCCAGGGGGCGCTGTGCGCGGGCGGGCGTGCGGGGGCGGGGGTGGAGAAGGCTGTAGGGAGAGTAGGGCGGGGGTGGGGTGCTGGGTAGCTGGGGTGCGACCGGGGCAGGAACCCAGAAAGCGAGCCTCGGAGAGGGAAGTGGGAGACTAGAGCAGCGATCCCCGCTTTCTCGGCCCTAAAAGGCAATCCTCAAAGAGAGGGAACCAGGGAAGCCGAGCCTCCCCAGAAGGAAGGAAACGCTGCTAGAGTCAAGTTACGATGAGAATAGGATTCTGTACGGAAATGAGCTAGAAGACCAAGCGTGATTCTTTCCCCAGCCTGATCCTCATCAGAAAGATGTTTATGTATTTGTTCCCATAATAACTTTTCATATTGTAATGTCTCCGTTTATCCTTAACAGAAATAACAGGAATGTAGTCTTGTTTCAGGTAAAACAAAAATCGGAAGCTAGCAAGTTAGCTAGGTCAAATGAAAATAAAAACCTGGGTCTCACTCAACTGAGAGATAATATACCGGGGAATGACCAGACCATAGGTTGACAACAGAACTCCGACCCACAACCTCTGCTGCAACCACGCGAAGCCAAACCGCAACCTCTGCAGTGATCAGCTCAGAATGAGCCAGACTCGGTCATTGACTGCCAGCTTGCCTAATTTTTGCCCGTGTTTCCAACTCTGGACCAATCAGAGAAAGCCAAATATGTTCCCCTAAACCAATCACGTTAGACTCCCCGCTTCTAGTTAGCCCGCCTCCAGCTTCCCCGAGTTAACTTCCAATCAGAGCAAACCCTGAAGCCTCCTCACCCACCCCCACCCGCCCCCTTATTTTTAACTGTCGGAGTGTGAGTCCCCAGCTAAGTGAAGGTGGCTGGCTCTGTTAGTGTAGCAAGCTTCGAGTAAATAACCTGTTCTCATTTGGTGGTCTTATTTCCACACAGCCAAAGAAGAGGTGTTAGAGAAATGTGAAAAGGCTGTTTTGAGATTTTTTTTTTTTAAGGGTCCTTTAACTTTTTTTTTTTTTTAATTCTAAATTTGTAGCATGTGGTCGCCCACCCAGCTTTTAAAAAACCCACTCATCTAAAGGAAATAACCAGCATCTT